CCCCAAGGGTCAGTACTAGGCCCACTCTTGTTCATAATCTACATAAACGATCTGCGTAGATACTGGGATCAGCAGTGACATAAGCAAGTTTGCGGATGACACCAAAATAGGGCGGCAGATTAATTCAGGGCAGGATGCAAATGCATTATAGGAGGATCTAAATAAACTGCAGGGGTGGTCTGAAAAATGGCAAATGAAATTCAACACCAGCAAGTGCAGCGTACTTAATATTGGAAGAACAAATACTGACAATGTATACAGCCTTAACATCAACCTAGAGAAGTCGACTTGTGAAAGAGACCTAGGGGTACTTGTAAGCCCGGACCTACGGCCTAGAAAACAGTGCGTTAATGTTCGAAATAAGGCAAACAGAGTATTGGGTTTTATATCTAGAAGTGTAAGTAATAAGAGTGCAGAGGTGTTATTGCAACTATATCTTGCACTAGTCAGGCCGCACCTCGATTATGCGATTCAGTTCTGGTGCTCTTATTATAGAATGGATATCAATTCACTAGAGTCGGTGCAGTGAAGAATGACGAAAATGATTCCGGAACTTAGAAACCTTCCATATCAGGATAGGTTAAAGAAACTTAACTTGTATTCCCTAGAAAGACGAAGAGTGCGGGGAGATATGATAGAAGTATTTAAGTGGGTGAAAGGAATCAATAAAGGGGATATAGATAAAGTTCTTATAATATCCGAGCAGGATAGGACTCGGAGCAACGGATTTAAGTTGGATAAGTTTAGGTTTAGGAGGGAGATAGGAAGGAACTGGATCACAAATAGGGTGGTGGACGAGTGGAACAAGCTTACCAACTTTGTAGTAAGTGCTGGAACTCTGGAAAGTTTTAAAATGAGGCTAGATAGATTCATGGATGATAGAGAGTGGTTGTAACTCTCGACAGGAGCTGCCATGCACAGGCCAACCGGCCTATTGCAGACTCCTTATTTTCTTATGTTTTTATGTTTTGTTGGCCAGCTGACCAGTTCCTCACAGTCTCACAGGATTGTATACATCTTGCTGGGGGCGCTGATGTGCTCAGACAATACATCAACGTAACAGTATCTAGAGCTCGGCGTCGCTGTATCATCAAAACTATATTTTTCCTCGTCAGTTGCCTCTTGACAAAGATAAGCTTCATCTGACCCCATCTTGTGTGTACAGTAAGTCCTTTTATTAATGTGTGATGTTGATACATTTATCTGTTGAATAGATAAGAATTTATTTTCTATGAGTACTTTATATACTAGTAAGATCTCTTTTCAGTAGTGTGAGTGCAAGATTACGCCTCCTGGTAACAGGTGCCAGAAAGCGCCAGGAGCTAACATTCGAATTAAAGTTAAAAGTGCCGACTATCTCAAGTATGTTACGTCGGGGTATTGGTGTGACGTGGGGCTTCAGTGCTGGCGCCACCTGTGTGCGTCACAAGGATAATGTAGATTATCCCGTTCCCTCTTAAAACATGATAAGGGGAGCGTGACAGCTGGCGCGCGGCAGTCAGTGTGGCCTCTGTTGTATAACGCCGCCAACTGAACACTTCTACCAGGGTAACTTATTGCTCTTAAAACCCATTAGGCATTTACATAATAATTTATTTTCTAGAATAATAAAACATCCCTTCAAACAGACATATATGTTGAGGCTCTGAATTATATACCATTATATATTGATAGACCAGGAGTTACAGCCACTTATATGTCGTGGTTTTTACTGTTGCGAGACATATATGACTTCCCCAAAACCGAGATCTTCTTGAACAAGGACATCAGTTAGCAGCAACACGAAATACGCTAAATACTTGAATCACTTTATTAATTCAATGTTTTGTTCAGGTTATCACGATGGCTTTACTGTAATGTTCCAGGGTCAACTCTCTTACCTCAGTCACAATATGGCCTCAAACATCCTGATCTAATGAAACAACGAAAATTTCCCAACTTTTGTAAATGATTTACTGTTTTATTCTAAGAACGTCTTAAAGTTTTATATGTCTTACTGTTTTTATCTCCTATATTTTTTATTACGTTGGGATTTTCAATGACGATAATCATATATTGATCTTACAGATAAGGTAACTTAACTTGACGACTTGATTACATTTTTCTCATCAGTAAGACCAGGACATCAGCCATCTACCCAGCCTCCCTCCCTCCTCATATTCCTGGTGTGTGTTCCTCGGTACACACACATCCTGGAGAATAAAGTAATAAAGATAAGTGGGCGTGTGTGTCATACAAGAGGGGTTCTCTAGCCTCGACAACTGTTTATCAATAGGACACAGAGTACACGAAGGTACTTGTCTGTTTTGATTGACTTCGTATGACCCTCGTGAGTTCAGATAGTATGATCAGCTCCCTGGTCATAACCTAACAGAGACGTGTCCTAACAGAGACGAGACCTACCAGAGACGTGACCTAACAGAAACGTTGTAACAATGCCATGAGTGTTTCCCGCCTGAGGGTTCGAGCCAATCGCAGTGACCTGTTTGGGTGAATGCCTTAGGCCTGAACAAATAAGAAAACCTGTGAGACGTGACGTCATGAAGAGGTGGCGTCCCTTTGTGGGCGACGCAGTTCGAAAAAAAATAAAGAGTCGAAATCTCCTCACATGGAAGGATATAATGTGAGTAACTTTTAGGTTTATCCATTTCACGAAATGTATTGTGATTCAGGTGACCCCTGGTTAGCGAGTTAGGAAGATAGGTTATTATTTTGAAGTGTAACTGTTCATGTTGAGTTACGTCGTTAATAAATGAAGAACCGTTATGATTAGTTCTCAATTCCCTTGTGTTGAGTAAAACATTGTCATGCATGTCTCTGGTATTATGCACTGATACAGTGACCCATTAGAAATAACATAACCTACTGCCTGGTATCCCTGTTCCCAGTTATCACCGGTTATGCCATAATTCTCCAGTTATTCTCTCTCACCCTCATAGCAGATTACCCTCTGATGTGAGGGCCTAATGTAGGTCTCCCACAACCTCCCCTCGTTCCCGCCCCCAACACTCCGTTAACACCCCTCAGCCTCAAACATAAACAAGTACCTCCCTCACACTCCTTCCAAAACTAAAATTCCCTCAATTCTTCCTCCACCTCTGCCATCTTATGAGACAGAAGAGAAAAGAATAAAATAAATATAAGAAGTAAAAGAAAAATAAATAGAATAAGAGAATAATAATAAGAAGAAAAGGTAAATAAAACCTTTTGTTTATATTATTACAACGTGACCTAACAAAGACGTGACCTAACAGAGACGTGACCTAACAGAGACGTGACCTAACAAAGACGTGACCTAACAGAGACGTGACCTAACAGAGACGTGAACTAACAGAGACGTGACCTAACAGAGACATGACCTAACAGATACATGAACTAACACAGACGTGAACTAACACAGAGAAGAGTCTTAATAGTATATCTTCACCTCCATAACTTCTATCACTTGTCAGTCATCGCCCACTGTGTACTGTACTGATGAGTCAAGTGTGTTATCCTGAACACCACTGGTTACCGCAACATTGAGTGATACTCTTACTGTGTAGTGTAGAATAAACATAATGTGTTGTGGCATAGATATACAAATTATACAATGTCTGTGACAATACAGTATATAACTGCTGTCTGATTGAGAAATTAAGTCTTATTGAATAATTTTAATTTACAAAAATAAGCACCAGAGTCAATTTATTGTGTCTAGAGTATATACAAAAAAGTTTACCATATTAACTCTCGTCTTGGGGTGTCGTCTGTGAAGGGCAACACAACTCGCGATCATTCACCTCACACGTCTACCTAAATCTATTTTTTTTCCTTGTGTACTCGTGGCTGAAGCTGACTATGTTATCAGCTCTATAAACTATTTTTTGTAATAATCTTGCATTCTCGTAAGCTTAGAGGAAATCTGAGCTAAATTGTTTACTTGGCGATAGATAAGCTTAATCTTTTTCTGCCGCCTGGTGCATTTCACTAGACATCCGCTCGGCTTGCTATCCTCTTATCATAATTGAGGTAACGGACGTAATACCTTCCTGTAATATCAAGCAGCAGGTTTTATGGGATATTACATGTTATTACCATTTAGTGTGTGTGTGTGTGTGTGTGTGTGTGTGTGTGTGTGGTAACTAAGGAGAACGAATAATGTAATTTTTAGCAATAATCTACCACTGTTTATTGTATATTTTGATTTTTGGGGGAGGGTATATGCATTTTCATGATTACTAAGCAGAAGACTCGTCACTGAGGATAATCGATGACTTACGTACAAGAAATTCCTTGTCTCTAATCTGAATAATATCAAGTTATCGTAAGAAATGCGCTAATCGTATCACAATCTAGGGATTTGGTCCTACAACATGAGACACAACCAAGCCAATGTTAGTCATTCATGTTATCTAGAGTTGGGACTTAGGTTAGTATTACGTTACCGTCAGAGTTATGCAGTCAATATAAAAACAAATATGATTATAAGTAAAGGGGGAAGTTATATCACACAGAAAGAAGCATTACTGATTTAAAGCTAAGATTTAAATCACACCAAGTCACGTCGATGCTTTGTGAAAAAATACAATCGACCAAAGTTGGTTAAGAATTTTTACATAGTGGGTAAACTTGTTGTATTTAAGGGGTTAAATCATCATACTGAAAGAATCATCACAGTAATAAAGGGGCTTTAGGTCATCATACTGAATGGGTCAAGTCATCGTACGCAGAGGTAAGCCTAAGTATGTAAGCATGAGGTAAAGTCTTTCATATATGTTGAAATTTGGTTCCAGGATCTTGAAAACTAGTCAGTTGTCTGGCCATTTTACCACAAAGTCCACAACAAGAGGTGGACTCATACAGCTAAGTAGTAATCAAAGCGTATGGAGACAATATTCCCTGTAATATTTGTAGATTATCTCAGTGATTATACTACCAGTAAGGCGCAGGTAATACTTCTAATTATAGAATTATAGTCAGAGATAAGAGGGTGTCCCGAAAGGGTTGGGAGGTGAGGTGCGGAGACCCAGGGACAATGCCAGTACGGGAAGTGACTAGCCAGCGGTAACACCCTCCCCTGTGGTCCTCCCTCACCCTCAACACCAGTTACCTCCTCTCCTGTCCCTTTTAGCGCCAATACTAGTACCCACGTCACGTTGCCAGGGAGTTTCACCTCCGTCTTGGCCCGACATACCGCCGAGTGACAGACATCAGTTTTTAACACAGTAAGCTCAGTGATCCGCCGTAGTCACTACTGTCCTTCGCGTCAAAATCGAAGAGAAAAGTTCGTTTTTCACTTTCTTCCGGCTGCCACCACTAGCTGTAACGCCACCACTGCCAACACTCAGCGCCACCATGGCACTAAGAGGCCTCCACACACTCGTGGTGTTGGCGGCTGTCAGTAGGTTTGCTGTGGTAAGTCCAAATTTGAGCAACGTCTTAAAGAATCGCTTGTGTTGAAGGAAGTTGTGAGGCGAAGTTCCTCAGTTACGTGTCTCCTTCACCATGCTGGTCAATATGTTCAGAGGTTCGTAAGCTAAATTTCTTCTTACTATGGAGAAGCGGACCTCATGGGCAGCGATCAGATGTAGTCTCTCTCAGTTAGTAAGAAACATTTACCACTGAAGTATGATTTAGTTAGGAAATTCACTAACCACTCCAGTCACCCCTGATACTAACCACTCCAGTCATCCCTGATACTAACCACTCCAGTCATCCCTGATACTAACCACTCCAGTCACCCCTGATACTAACCACTCCAGTCACCCCTGATACTAACCACTCCAGTCACCCCTGATACTAACCACTTCCTCCCCGTTCTTCTCCCCAACAGACAGTACCAGTGTCAGTTCATCACGGCTCAATCGCCTACGATGAATTGCCTTGTAAGTACCTAACTACCTTACTTAACTACAACTTTTCACGTCTAATTACTTTACTCATTTTAACTAACACCAACTGTCGAACTAACATCTGCTGTCTAAATAACATCAGCTGTCTAACTAACATCAGTTACTTAACTAACACCAGCTGTCTAACTAACATCTGCTGTCTAACTAATATTAGCTGTCTAACTAACACCAGCTGTCTAACATCTGCTGTCTAACTAATATATGCTGTCTACCCAACATCAGCTGTCTAACTAATATATGCTGTCTACCCAACATCAGCTGTCTAACTAACATCAGCTAACTAACACCAGCTGTCTAACTAACTAAAGTAATTATCTTTTTCATCTTAACTACTTTACATACCTAGCAAAACTAATACTTGCCTGTGTTGACCTATATACCCGGTGAGCTTAACCAGTGTGTTTACTAGCCAAGAGTATAATATAAATCTATTTGTAGGTCAGGTCAAGACAGGTTAAGAGCCTATATACGTATTTTGTTAACAGGTATATACCACTTTAACTAGTGAAGTTAGACCCACCAATATAACAGAGTATGACCTTCAACATTACTACAAGGACTCACTTAACGTACAATAATGCCCTATACTATGAGTTTTATTTAATAACCTTAGTCTAAATCAATGTTATATTTGTGCCTTAAGTACCAACATGATACGAGTCACAATCGTATTTGTCTTATCTGTGTGTTGCTCTGACTGGCTGACTGTGTGTTGCTCTGACTGGCTGACTAACTGACTCGCCGTCTGTTTGTCTCCTCGCTTCTCTCTCCCACATGTCACTCATGTACATATTTTCTTCTCCATAGCGTTCCTGGAAGCGGATATTTTACCAGATAAAATTGTAAGTATTCATGTGTTCTCACTGTGTGTGTGTGTGAAGGTGAATCTTGCTGATAAACTGGTAAGGCATAATTATATGAATATTCTACACACACACACACACACAGATGATGCTCCCTCCCTTGGCTCTGCTGTTGTGTTGGGTCCTCCAAGTAGTACATACATCAGAGACTAACAAATGATTGAGAAAGTCCAAAGGAGCGCCACCAAACATTTTTATATTACAAAGGGGCATAGGAAGTCTCAATAGATGTTTCTAAACATCTCAAAGGCCATTACTCCATCAGTACAAAAAACTGACAGAACTATTTTATCTGAAGAAGTCGTGAACTCTTACAATAGCCTGCCTGAGTGTGTTGTATCAGCACCGAGTTTGAGCTCGTAGTCCAGACCTGACCAACACTGGCACATGTTAAGGTACATTCAACAGTTCACCACAAACAAAATTATTACGCAGGCTTTATAAAAAAAAATTTGATCAATAAACACAGCCTCTTCCTTGTATGGAAATTCACCTCCCTTCCTCTTATCACAATTTTTGCTAAAAATTCTCTTCGTAATAAGTCTACCTTACACGATCACTTGTGCACTCAATAGATTTATTCTTCCGTGACCCTTGCATTCATTTTTACCACTTTTCCCTTCCTGTAGGGAAGCTTTACAGTATATGTGCTCTGTACCTGTCACTCTGTTGTATATACATGACCTGGTGGACACGTCATCCATTCTGCCAATTTTAACTTAATATCATATTAATGTGATGTGATAAACATGATGGCGTATGGAAATGTTCTTAGTACATCTGAAAGTCGTCATATAATACTGTCTTACCGGTGAATTAGAATATCGATAAAATATAAGTAGTAAAGCTTGTTACATGGGATCTTCTCTGGGAACACCATACACCATAATAATCGTCATCTGGTGATAAGAACACAAGAGGTGGGAGAATGGGTCACGTCGAAGGATAACTCTTTTGTGCTCCTTGAGGAGAAACAACAGGTGTTGTTTATCTTATCGGGTGCCCATCTGCCCTCTGGCGACCAGGAAGGGAACTCTTACTGGGACACAAACACCAACATTCTCGACTTGATCCCACAAGAGAGTAAAAGACCCAAAGACCCGGGAATAAGACCCGCCACTAGATGTACAGTATATAGAAGGGAGTATGGAGGTAGTCAGTGTAGGAGGGACTAAATGGTTCACCTGAGGATTAGGCATCTCGGCAGATTTCTAACTGGTGATTCAACACTATTAACAGTGCCAGGAGGTTTAGGTTAGGTTAGTTTAGTATGTAAGGTTAGGATAGATTAGGTTAGTATTAAGTTACGTTATATAGTTAGGATAGATTAGGTTAGTGACAGCTCGTTAACTCAGGGTGTGGTTGTTGTGTTGGCGACAGCTTCTACGCCTCAAACAAACTCACCCCTAGATGGCCCTCTTCGTTACATGGGGGGCCACCACTATAGTGTATTAAGCCAAATCTTAATCCCTAAACTTAAATGTCTACAAAAATATTAAGGTGTTGACATCTAACCCAGGGAGAGTACGAGTATACCTTTTGATAGGATGACGTATGTATGGTAACCCCACCCACCCAAAAATAAATAAATAAATAAATATAAAGACGGAAATCAATAGCTTGAGGCAAGTTATATTTGGCCATGAAAATATTCGATTTGTAGCGAAAACAAACTAAAGCTGTGACGTTGTGTTTACTTAATGTTAACTCAACCGACCTTATCTCTGGTTTTAGCAACACCGATAAAGGAAACATTGAAGGTTAGACTTCAAACCTACATTCCACAAAAGATTAAACCTGAATGAACTTTAACCAGAGGTGTATGAGAGATTATCCTCGAGTCCAATATTCCTGTACTGTGTTGAATGACTGACTATCTGACAGCAGCCGTCACAAGCTAGAATTAGAATTAAACGTAACCGGACTAGCTGTCATAGATTATGCCTCCCCTGTCCTTGTAGTTGCCTCCCAACGCGAGAAACAAAGCATAGAGAAAATCCAAAACAGAGCGATGAGACTCATCCTCGGCTGCCCTATGACCACCAGAATAGAAGTCATGCAGCGCGAACTGATCCTGCTTCCAGTCTGCGATCGAATTACTGCTCTCAATGCCATCCTTGGTGTTAAACTCCTTCGCAGTGAGAAACCGACTCCCCTGTCTCGCTCACTGAACTCACATCTTGACTCCCTCCTGTGCCGGCCTGCCCCCGCTACCTCTCCCTCCCTCTCTCAACTCTGGCCCGTCCACACTGCTGCTGACATCCTGCGTTATCACCTCTACACCCCCTCGACCTCTCTCCCTCCCGAGTACACTCATCCGCCTCTACCGCCGTGGACCTCCCCGTGTGTTGATGTTGTCGTCCACACCTTCCCTGGTCGTAAATCCACCCAACTGAGGTATATGCTCAAACTTAACTGCCTTGAGCAGATTGATGTCGCCTCTTCTCTTACGACCTCCCTCCCACCCTCCTATCCTCGTCTACTGTGATGGGTCTGTCACCACGCTGGGCAGCGCTGGGGCAGCTGTGTGGATTCCTGAGCGCCAGGCCCGCAAGAAAATCAGGGTCCACGACTGGGTCTCCTCCACTGACACTGAAAGCATAGCCATCCTCGCGGGCATTCATGAGGGGGCGACCTATGCTCGCACTGAACGCCGGAACCTCCTTATAATCAGTGACAGCACTTCTGTGCTAGCGAGGCTCAAATTACCCTCCCCTTTCCCCTACCGCCCAACACACCGGAGCCGCCGTCGCCAATTTAGAACAAACTGATGGCATCCGTGTCAAGTTTATTTGGATCCCGTCACATATAGGAATAACTGCCTGTGACACTGTTGATCGACTTGCCAAAGAAGCAACACAAGAAGATATTGAAGCCACTCTCGCCCTCTCCCTGAATCATCTCAAATCTCTCATACACGCCACACAACGAAAAGCATTCGACGTAAAATGGACACACCTGAAACAACGGGGCAGCGTCACACTATGCCACTATGACGCTGTAACCGGTGACTCCAACCGCCACAACAAAGAGTATCAATCTCTGACTCGATCTCAACAGATTATATACACGAGACTGCGCCTAGGGTACAGGTACCTATGGGAGTACATTGGCAACCCTGAGCCTGGCCGCACTGTTTGTAAACTTTGTGGCCAACCCGACTCTCACACCCTCCGTCACTACATCCTCACTTGCCCTGTGACCTCCTCCTACAGGTCCCCAGCCGTTACCAACAACTCTTCCCTCCCTGACCAGATATCCCTCCTCCTAGTCACTGGCCTGGCACTAGGGACCTGCCACGCTTTGCTATAAACAGATGAAATGTACCGGGAATTCCCCCACACACTCATCATTCTGTCACTTTATGTAACTTGCTGACAAAACCCATGATCCTTCAGGCTTCCACGCCCTTAATGTACGAGTCATAAAGGCAAGCATGAACTCCGCATGCTTCCCAGTTGGGCGCTGTAAACGCTTCTGCGCTTCACCTTGCACAGGCTGTAAGGGGGTGCCCAATAAACTAGCCCCTCCGGGGCAATCTGTAAAAAAAATCTGTAAACACAGTTACTCTGAGGTATTGTACATGACTGATAATTATTGTGTAACTCTCATCAGCTACCTAAGATGGTGATGAAGGATAACTACAAACTGTGGCCTGGCGGTACCCTCATCTTCAAGCTGGACTACGACGTCAACGCCAATACATACGGTAGTTGCCTTTATACTAACCCAACACTTATAGTCACTCACCTCTTACCTAATAAACATACGCTCACTGGACGATATATTCATGTTATTCCTGACTTCTTATTGGATGATACAGTATTTTCATGTTATTCCTGACTTCTCATTATTCTTGTTTGGGGGTGGCAGTGACGGACATCATCCAGGCCGCCATAGACAAGATCAACGAGGTGAACTGTGTCAAGATTGTGGAGGCAGGGAGCCAGGCCAAGGACTACGTTTCTATCCGTTTGGGGCAGTTCTACTCTTCCCACGTAGGCAAGCAGGGAGGCGTCCAGAACCTTACTGTCGTCAAGGATGAGATTGACATTGGTTCAACTATGCACGAATTGATGCACGCCTTCGGTACGTTGTTCCTCCTATATTATTATTGTTATTATCGTTAACAGATTCCTCTTTATCATCACTACCACAATCAACAGCACCATTATCACCATTAACACAAAATTATGCCAATCACCATCACCATCACCACCATCACTCCACCATAATCACCAGCATCACCACCTTCACCATCACCACTTTCACCATAATCACCATCACCATAATAATAATAATAATGGTTCCCCGTCATGGCCCTAGGGCCACCTTGGGGGGAATTTGTTTAAGGTGTAGAAGCTGTCGCCAACACAACAACCACACCCTAAATTAACGAGTTGCGTGACCCGGTGACCCGTGACCGGACAACTCACCAAACTGCACTGGCTAACCATTACCCTGGAACACGATCAGCAAATAGATTAACATCCAGATTCCCAATTACTGCTGGGTACACAGAGGCAAATGGCGTAAAGAAGCTTGCCCATAGTTTCACCCTGCCCGAGGATCGAACCCGGGTCCACTCGCTTGCGAGGAGAGAATGTTGACCTTTACTATCACAGTTCGCCACAAACCACCATAATCAACATCACCACTATCACCATCATCACCACCACCATCATCATCACCACCATCACCACCTTCACCATAATTACCATCATGTGTTGCAGGGTTCGGTCACGAGCACAATAGACCTGACAGAGATGATTATGTCACCATTAACTTCACCAACGTTGAGGAGGAAGCTCAGCATTACTTCACCAAGTACACGTGAGTCATGGGGTGTGTCTTGGACTGAGAGAGAGAGAGAG